CGCTCTGATTGATTCACTGGAGCTGGCCTTCTCCGGAGCTAAAACCTTCTCCTAAGTATGACAAACACTATTCTGAAAACCGCATCGAAATCAGTTCAGCCAAACGCGAGATAATCCCGCACAACCATACATAGGTACATACAAACTGAGATCCTTCTTTTTTTGAAATCGGTTAAATAGGTTTTACGTCATGTTTTTTTTAGTTAAAAAAATAAAGGTTTTTTTTCTTTATTTTGTACCTAATATTTCTTTTTTATTTGTACATATTTTAGTATTTTCGATTATGGAGTTTAGTTTAGCCAAGAATTTGTTCATTTTTGTTTTTCTTTATGATTTTGTCTTTTGTTATATTTGGACGTAACATAGATTATTTTTTTAAGGCCTAGCTATCTCAATAGAGAGACCTGTCATGATAGTTTAGGTAAGGTTTTATATAAATAAATAAATGTTTTTCTGAGGTCGTCGGTTAAGACAGGTGTATACGTGAGCACCTCAAGATGTTTGTGGCACGCGACTACTCCTGTGACCGTGTTGAACGGCTCATAAATATAAGAAAACGTTAAACGGACATTTTGCTATAAATAGATGTTATATGGCGTTACGCCACGGTTTTACCGACTTCAAAAAAAGGAGGAGGATGTTCGGATGTTTGTTTTTTTTGTTTTTTCACCGATTACTCTGCCATAAAACATACAAATGGCGAAATGATTGGGATGAAAAATTGAGAAGCCATTGTATGATTTCCCCTCTTAAAAATATAGGCGTCACATGGAATGATGTCCTCAGATGGAATTGGACACTTTCCGCAGAGATTTTGGTCTAGATCAGAGGCTTTGGTACAAGTTTGATTTAAGTTTAAAGTATTCGAAACGAGTAGGCGTTCGGCACTCTGATTGGCCAGCACCAATGAATCAACCAATCACAGCGCACTCGTTACGCAGAAGGTTCAAGCAGCAGAAGGTTCAAGCAGTTGGCAGTGTGCGTATCAAAATCGGGCTCCGGTAATAAAGGCCGAAGCGAAAACGCAGAAGGCTGATTAGTAATTAAATACTTATGTGTATTAATGAATACTTTTATCAGGTACGGCGAATTTTTTTCTGTTACGAATTAGAAAATTAATTCTTGGCAGTGTATGGATAGGTACTACCTAGCCTAGGGCCTGAGATTTAGGTAATCTCGATTGCCGTGCGCAGATTGAAATAAAACTGTGATATCAATGCAAATAACACGTTGTACCTAACCGTATAATTATATCGAAAATTGTTAGTGCTTCGAAAACCTATGGACCATGTGTGCTACACATGGTCCATAGGTTATGGTCCCCGCTCAAGGACGACATTTTGTACTTATTTATTAACCGACTTCAAAAAAGGAGGAGGTTCTCAATTCGACCGTATATATGCTTATACGTATATTACGACCGTATATATTAAGAAATAAAATATTTATTTTTGCTGATATTAATTTGTCACCCTGTCATTGAGTTAATAAAGGTGTTTTTTTTATAAATGTGTAGTTTGTATTTAGGTCCAAATGCGTTAAGGAGCATAGAGAGTGCATCTAAGTTTGTGCACAGTGCACAAACTTGCTTGTGCACCTCTATCTCATATTTCCTAGCCTTAGTTAATTTACGCCTAGTCTTCCTGTCTAAAATGTCTAACGACCTATTTATCAATCAACTAATAATTTTTAACCGTAGAATAAAATTGTCATTTGACAGTTTTTATTATGGGACAATTGTCAAATAGTAAAATATAGACCTCTGTTATTGATTTACGTTGGAAAAATCGTCACTAAATCTTTTGTCACTTGTTTGTGGACGTAGAACATCTACGTTTTTTGTTTTAATGTTGACGTATATCACGTGTAAACGTGTTTTATTGTAGCCTATTTGCCAAAAATATATCCATAGTGGATATATTTCACAAATCTACAGATACAGGTAAAATATGAAAACTTGTCGTTAGGTAGAACTTTAGACGGAAAATGACATTATTATCTTGCTAATATTATAAATGAGAAAGTTGTTACTCAATCATGTCAAAATGGCTGAAGGTGAAATTTGAAAAAGGGTTCTCATATAGGATACTTTTTATCCCACGACAACGCGGGAAAAGCCCTAGTAGAAACCAGTACTAGTAGTATTAGTGAGTGTGGGAGAGCCATGTTTCGGCACGAATGGGCCAGCTCGACCGGAGTGATACCACAGCCTCACAAAAGTTCGACGTGAAGCAACGCTTGCGTTGTGTTTCGTGTGAGGTTACTGGAAGCCTAATTACCGCCTTCCCCAATCCCTGAATCCCCAACAATCCTCTAATTTCTAATCCCAAAAGGCCGGTAACGCACTTGGTGTCCCAGGTGTCTATGGGCGACGCCAATTGCTTACCATCAGGTGATCCGTCTGCTCGTTTACGGGCTTATCCCATAAAAAGTACCGATGTAATAAAATAAATAGCTACTAAGTTTCGACGTCCATGAAGTTCACGTGAAAACCCGTCACGTGGATACTCTGACGTCATCAAGGCTGCTGTCAAATGCAGTGGTAGGTACCTAGGTAGGTAGGTAGGTAGTGGTTCTCTCGGTTCGACAGTTAGTTAAAATGCTAGGTACTAGGTATATTATAGAAGTGAAAGCTAGCACGAAAAACTACCGAGCAATGGACAATTGGCTACAAAAGATCCCTCCACGGGCAAAACGTGCAAAAATACATAGGTACCAAATGCACCTTTAAAAATTAAATTTTTTAAATGATATTTATTTGAAAAAAGGAATAAACGTATATTATATTCACGAAAAACTACTGGACGAGCGTGCATGAAATTTGGCGTAGAGACAAATTGCAGTATTGTTTAACCATTTATTACACATAGCAATGGCTTCTATGCTACTTTGTGTAAATGAAGGAGGCACAACCGCGGCGCACACTAACTTACGGACAGATTAACAACTGGGCAGCTAAAACGTAAAGGAAGCTGAAACTTGATTTATTTCATAGGAATTGTAGGAAAGCACTAAAGGGTTTTCCAAAATTCGAGAAAGGAACACAGGATTTTTATTTGGATGCAAAAATGCTGGCCTGCGTTTGTAGTTAGGTGCGTTATATAATTAAACTGCAATGAGGTTTAGCATTTAATGCTAATATAATCTTAAGTTCCTTTACAAAAGTAGTAAAACATAATGAGTTTTTTTAATATTAATGGCTACTTATTTAATCATCTCTCGCAGGGATATTAGGTACAGGTTAATTTGAACATATAACATGTTCCATTGTGTAAGTGTCAATTATATATTTAATAGTTTATTTACCTTATTTTGATATATCTTCTGATGCTTTAAGTTGATTCTTAATCTCATATTAAGTGTGGGAGTGCTTCGGCACGAATGGGCCGGGTCGACCGGAGTGATACCACGGCCTGACAGAAAACCGACGTGAAACAACGCTTGCGTTGTGTTTCGTCGTGTGAATGAGGTTACTCGAGGCCCAATTAGGTACCCTCCCCTCTCCCCAACCTCCCTAATCCCTGAATCCCCAACAATCCTCAAATTTCTAATCCCTAACAGGCCGGTAACTCACTTGTAACACTTCTGGTGATCCGGGTATCCATGGGCGACGCCGATTGCTTACCATCAGGTGATCCGTCTGCTCGTATACCGGCTTATCCCTTAAAAATATGTATGTAAGAAGAGTTTCTTTGTTTATTTTGTTTTCACATACCTAAGTAGGTACTCCGGTTGTTACTAAGTACTCCAGTTCCGTTTGAATAATTGTACTAAAAGTAATCTATCTCAAAAAATATTCAAGAATTTTTTTGTAAGTACGTACAAATAGTCTGCATAGACCGTATACCTAAGTACCAATTTTTAGTTTTCTACCAGTTGAAAACTGTTAAAATTTTATGGAAGTGAAGAGACCAAAAGTAGATTATGTCATTTCCCATCCCTTTAATGATCTCAATTTAAAAAAGCACTTAAACAGAAACCTGTACACGAAGCAGCAACGTTAAACCGCCTATTGATTTTGACAGATGCATGCATTTATCAAATGCAAAATGACGAAACGTGGTCAGCTATAGGCTATTTTGTGACTGTCAATCGAATTTTCGAAGTGAGCGTGAGCTCGATCGCATTCTCGCCCGTCATTGGTCGATATTATTCTCACAACCAATGACATGGCGGACCGTGATCGAGTTCACTTCGATCTTTTGAATTGAAGTTATAGAATAGCCTAGTGTTTACCCTAACTCGGTGCCGTGCCGCTGTCGCACGTTTATCATCCGATATCAGTTTTTTTTAAGTGGGGAATATCATCGAATGACTGCTCCCGCCTGGGTGAGGCGGGAGGGAGTGTCAGACTCTTACTGACTAAAAACCACCCGTTTCTACTCCTGCACTTCGAGCCGGAACCCCGGTAATCTGTTAAGTTCTCCGCGGCCATCAGCCCTATTGGACCCCATCCGTGGTGGTCTGATGGCTTTTTGAGGCGCGCACGGAACGCGACGCACCGTACGCTCGAGTGTGGTCGGGCGCGAGAAGTCACCGTCGCCGATCACGTCCCTGAGGGCACGGCGGTGCTCAGCCTAGGCTGGGCATTCTCCCACTGTGTGTTCCACAGTGTCCTCAGTGCGGTCCTCGCAGTGATGACACCCGAGCGTTTCTTCCCGCCCTATCAGACACAGATACCTCCCGAAGGTCCCATGTCCGGTGAGGACCTGCGTCAGGCGGTAGGTGAGGACGCCGTAGCGTCTCTCAAGCCACTCTTCAAAAGGGGACTTACTGCTGCAATGGCAGCGAGCCCAAGTTTGTATGCTAGGAATTTATTTGAAAGCTTATAAATACCTAAAATGTACCATCAGTAGGGCTGATGTCCAATTCGAAACCGAGGACAACTTAACGATACGTCCAACACGAACCGTCTCAATTGAAGGAGTCCTTAACCACAAGCAGAAATATTACTTAACTGTGTTTTTATTTGATAGATTACTATTCTATGAGATGCTGAGATGGAGGCCCTTTTGGCAAGGGCACGCACCGTAAATGTTATTTATTTATTTATATCTTGTTTTTATTAATTTTTAATTATTGTGTTTTGTTACTGTTTTGTTATATGTTGTCGTTTCTTTGTGTTTTTATATATAGTGTATTTATTTGTTCTTTTCTTTTTTTATTTTGTATTTTTTTGTATCTGTGTGCGTGCTTACTGTCGAATAAATGATTTTTCTTTCTTTCTTTCTATGACTTCAAGTCGAGGGTCAGGAAGTCAGGGTCTTTTGATATAACAGAACTGCGATACCCAAGACTTTTTTTCAGCTGTAAACGTTATTGGGCTAATGACGATATATCTTTATGTTTATCCAGAGATCATGTACCACTGTCCTGATAGTCTTGGTGGCGGTGATAGCATTGGGTCTCCATCAATCAGCGCCAAAAACTGGCTGGCTTGACCGCCTAGTGCAGTACCACAAGGAAAGGTTCATCAACGAACTTAGAAAGGTGAAATCCTATACACCTAATACTGCCAGCACAACCATCGAATCTACTCCATTTAATGGTATGTCCATAATTTATTTATTTTATTTATTTAACACTTTATGTACAACTGTATACAATGGCGGACTTAATGCCGAATGGCATTCTCTACCAGCCAACCATAGGGTGATGCAGAAAAGTGTTACAGTAGGTTTTAAAGGAAGTTTGCATCTATCGAAAAAAAATAAAAACGAGGGTGATAAATGTACGTACATATAAAGGTATCCTAATACATAAACTACATACCAATACTACATACTAATATGAAACATAAATATAATATGTAAATAATCAGGGTTAATAAATATAATTTAGGGTTGTATATTTTACATTTTTCCAGTTACTATTATATTGTTTTTGAAGCAGGTTTGCAACACAATGTAATAATATCGCACCGACCTATTATATTTCCTATATTTAAAATTACATTAAGTATTGCGATAAAATCTATTTTTGTTAGTTGTTACACACACTAGGATTGTCTCCTGTGTCGTGGGTGCGTTTACTAACATAAAAGTTCACATACACATGACACCCCGACCCGAAACAACAATTTATGGATCACACAAAGAGTTGTTCCGTGCGGGAATCAAACCTGCGACACGCGCGTAACATGGATTATAATACTTAAGGTTAAATGGAAAAATACGCAAAGATGAATGACGACTTGATTGTAATTTCAATGACAGTTAAAAATTCAGTCAATAATCTTATAGTGGGTCAGCAGTGTGATTCTGTATCGAAGCTCGCATAGACGAAAGAACCCATTTCGTAAGCAGGTAAACACAATTGCATTCGGTTCCGTATTCTATAAAGTTGACTATAAATAATTAGCACCTACGAACTACCGAAGCGAAACTCATTTTAACTTCGCGCTAATTGTGCACAGAGTACGGAATTGAATTCAAGTGTTTTCGAAATAAGCTCTTTCGCTTATGCAAACTTCGATATCGAATAGGTGTGTTACACAATCGCGCTGCATCGTACAATTGTTACTTCAATAATTCTTGGATTTGCAGCAACTCTATTACCCAGACCAGCTGGATTCGTGGATTCAGGTGAATGGAATTTTGACTCAGTGATGAGACTTATGATTATGTTGAAGTCTAGTGAAGCAGCCAAACCTACCCTCAGAACCTTGAGACGCATGCTCCAACCCACACGACGTATAATGATGTCCATGAAAGAAAGCATGCAAAAGTTCCCAGGATTGAATGTAAGTATTTACAATTAACAAACTTTACATTCATTTTCTTTAATATTAAATAAGAGTAAATAATACCACCTAAACATTTTGACTGCCGACAGAAAACTGCTGAAGGTAAATCCTCCGCTAACGTAGGTCACCGGTGACCTACGCGGCGGTTAACGTCATAATATGGTGAACAGAAAATCGTTGAAAAGTTAACGTTCATGTTCACATAGACAGAGAAACCTAAAAAGGGATTTAAATTGCTTATTTTTACACAGACGGGTAGCTATATATAGAAGTGTATAATAAAATGTACCCAGTTACTTATCTCCCTTATTTTAGCTTCTTAGTTACATTGTCGAAGCCCATCAATACTGCAGTAGTGGACAAGATAGATTCTGAGAATAAGTTAAGAAATAATTGTGTTTCAGGCAGAATCCAACGACATTTACTATGAGATTGAGTATACGAGTCAAGAGGACTCTGTGCCCGCTCCAGAATCGCCCCCAGAAGATCAAGTAGTAGTGGTAGTGTCCAACCCCGTCGAGGCTCGTTTACCAAGCACCCGCATCAGCGTACAACTTCTTAGGTTGAACAGCTTTGTGACGTTTTCATTGCTCTGCCGTATGTAACCCGAGAGAATTCGTTGTTGGTTGTGTGGCTCTACAGAAAGTTGTATTATATCTGCAATATCTTTATGCTTAACAGTCGGGTTGGAGATTGGTCTGTCGGAGTGTCTGTTAAGTCTGTGGTGTATTTACTATTTTTCCCGTACATACAAATTTGTACGGATCGATACTAGTGATTTAACGAATATTCGCACTTTTTTCTTACATTTGCAATTTTTAATGTGATTGTGAACGTCTGTACGGTTTAGTTAGTGATGTAAAAAATAATAATAGCTACGTTAATTCGTATGTTGCTTACGCCTTGAAACTCTCAGAGGCGGAGGTGTATGTTCTCAATGTAACACCAAATTTTTATCAGTTACAAGTTAAGGTTTATTTCAAGTTAATTTTAATGACATTAAAAATTGGTAATATTTATGTATAAGTGATATTTTACAGAGAAATATTGATAGCCCGTGCACGAGCAGCAAGGCAGATGCCGCCCACGAAACCGCCCGTCATGTGAGTGAACAATAAAATGCAATTAATTTTATAAGTAGGTAATCAGTAAGTCCATTAATATTGGACCTACTGATATCTGGTAATGGACCATTACCCTACATCCTGCACTATTAAAAAAACAAATAGCTGTACCTGAAACCTATAGTCACTCATCATTGACTCGACCAATGGAGAGTTAATCATATCAGACGGTAAAAAATTTAATTAATTATATATAAAATTTTCTTTGTAGTCCATGGAAACCTATGAAATCAACTACTACGACCGCGAAGTCTGCTTCACAAGCATCATCATCAGCACCAGGTGAATCAACACCACAACCAGAAGGAGAATCATCGCCAGGAGGAGAATCAGAATCAACCCCAGAAGGAGAAGGAGAAGCAGGATCAATCCCAGAAGGAGAAGCAGAATCACCCCCAGAAGGAGAAGGAGAAGCAAACTCACCCCCAGAAGGAGAAGGAGAAGCAAACTCACCCCCAGAAGGAGAAGGAGAAGCAAACTCACCCCCAGAAGGAGAAGGAGAACCAAACTCACCCCCAGAAGGAGAAGGAGAACCAAACTCACCCCCAGAAGGAGAAGGAGAACCAAACTCACCCCCAGAAGGAGAAGGAGAACCAAACTCACCCCCAGAAGGAGAAGGAGAACCAAACTCACCCCCAGAAGGAGAACCAGGAACATAATAACGGTATAGGATTGTGTACACACAACAAAACAATATTTATTTACAGTATCAGTAGTTTCAAGAGTAATTAACAATTGTAAACAAGATCTTAAAATTCAATACAGAACCTATCAGCTGAAAATATTGTTTTTGTTTGCAAAAACTATAACTGAAGTAACACGAACTACACAAACTGAGTTGAGAGAGAGGACAGAGTAGACTACTACTCTATGCAAGTTTTTAATGCAGACTAGTGCAAGATTACACCTAAACCATCCAATTTTCATAATTTTGGTTTTTGGCTAAGAATTATACAAAAAATACGACATAATTCATGTAAAATAATTTTATTACAGTACTTCTTAACTTTTGTTTTAACAATCAAAACATTACATGTTTTACAAAAATAACTTATATGTTTCATAATGGAACAGTAGTTTTATAAAACTCGGAAATGTTTGACACTTATTGTTTTTATACCGATTCTAAAACGGATATGTCCCAGTGAGTTCCGTCTAATAAGTAGATAATCCTTACTAATATTATAAATCTGAAAGTGAGTTTGTTTGTTTGTTCCACCTTCACGCCGTAACTACTCAACCGATTGCTTTGATTTTTTGCAGACGTAAAGTTAGAAGTCCGGATTAAATAATAGGTACTTTTTAACCCGGAAAAAATTGATATTCCCGAGGAAAAAGTATTGGTATAGATGGCGCTGTGTATATTGGTATATGTCACATAGGCTACTTTTTATACTTTTGTGACGCGAGCGAAGCCGCGGGTAAAAGCTAGTTATTATATAAAATACGTTTAAGTTTTTCTTTCTCCCTTTTATATTAAGTCGGTTAAAAATGACGCAGTGCACAATTAATCTTGCCAAACAGCCGTGGTCCTATGAACATTACCCCACTTCGCTACGACTACTTCGGAAAGGCTAAGATTATGCTTCAGTCTTTAGCAAGAATATTTTGATGACCGATCCAAAGAAAAAGGTAATTGGTACCGAACTATCCAACCTAAAATTTGTAGGGTTAAGCGAATCGATTGTAACCAAAACAAAATTATAACCAGCTTTGAGGCTTCTCTCTGAACACATTCCACCAAATAAGTTTTATAATCTAACTACTCTCGCGCGGTTACATCCGCTCTGCTCGTCTGCTATTGGTTATAGCGTGATGTTTTATAGCCTATAGCCTTCCTCGATAAGTGCACTATCCAACACAAAAATAATTATTCAAATCGGACCAGTAGTTCTGGTGATTAGCGCGTTCAAACAAACAAACAAACAGATTCTTCAGCTTTATATGATAAAAAAAAATAAAAAATATAAAAAAAGTTGCATTGCCAAATTGTAATGTATCTGGTGATAGAGGACGTTCTTCATGTTTAGATCGACAGGCCCGAAAACTATCATATTCGTAACGTAACAGTATCGAGCGAGTTATGCGTTCAGAGGGCCAAGCACGAATAACTATCGCATTCGTATCGTAACAGTATCGAGCGAGTTAACCGTTCTGATTGGTTGGTTCACTTGAGCCGGCCAATCAGAGCGCCGAACGCGCTCGATACTATTACGTTACGAATGCGATAGTTATTCCTGCTTGGCACTCAGAACGGTGTTCAGAGTGGTCGGCTCTATTGAACCTACCAATTACGTTACGAATGCGCTAGTTATTCATGCTTGACACTCTGATGGAGTGTGTCCGGAATGAAAGTGTTAGTGTTGCATCCATTGTCACCAAAGACACGCACTCTCTACAATACGGGTTTTGTAAAAGTATCCTTGCTTCCCCAATTTGTAATAGGATAGCATTTGTATTAATTGATGTTTAGTCTACATATAGACGATGATGACCTAATATGATTTAGACGGCACTGGGTGATGTTGCCTTTGAGACACAAAGCTCTTAAAATAATAATAAAAAAATACAATACTAGCACATATCCCGGTTTAGCATTGAGGTCTATTACATTACTACATTTGACATTGTTTTTTTTTTAAGTATGTTTAAGCTAGGCAGAAGTGCACATCACGTCACTTAATGCCACCTGAATGGGTAAGCCTATTGCCATATACCGGGCTACAATATACATTTTTATATTATTTACATAAACACATTCCAGTTTGTGAATCTCAAAGTTGTTTATCCTTTTAACATCGACTTACACTACGATTTTATCTAGTATCAATGTACAAAACATACAAATTTCACATACACGTCAAACTAAGACTTGAAACCACAATTTGTAGATCACACAATGTTGGAATCGAACCTGGAGCACATTCCGCAGCAGCCGATTATTCTGCCACTCCTCCAACCGTGCAAGTCATTGAAGTTGAGGCGCATTTTTGCAAAAAATCATTAATTGGGAATTTTACTTTACAAGCCTAACTAGACATCGAACCCAAGACCATTTCAGCATTCACCGATACCGCTGGAGTCACATCTTTGTAGGTGTAGACAGCAACTACTAAGGGCCACCTAATGCATACATACTTCTTTGGCTTCCATCAAATTCATGCAACCGGTTGGAGGCTACGGTATCGCGTAAATACAATTAAAAACTTCATTAACTCGTCGAGTACCGGTTTTATAGACACAATTAAAGAACAATAGGTCGCGGTCACCGGTGACCGCTTGGTATTTGACAGTTTAACATAGCAATTTCAACCTTATTTCTATAGCATAATGTATACATTTTAGGAAATTTCAGGGTGTATTTTTCGAAATCCGCATACGGATTGTACATTCGTTCAATATTCAAATATGCTTGAAGCATTTTTGGCTTCGAATTTGTGCATCCTTAAGAGCACTAACTTTTTTAATGTTTCAAACAAGTACAAGTTTATATTCGCGATTATAATAATTATTATGAAATAGTAGATTTGAATGAGCTCAGTGTCTGAGCATTGTGGTGACGCACGGAACATCGTGCTTAGCGCCAATATCATTGCTTGCCTCGTTTGCCGGGTGGCTTCTGCAGCTGGAACCCTGCGGAAGTGTCTGCTTGCGGGAGTCCAAAGCTAGTGTTCAGTGAAGTGTTCAGAGCCGGCTGGGACTGGGGCTGCCACGAGGGACCTGAGGATACAATATCATTAATTAACATCAAGAATAGTTTTATTACCATCTCTCTTATGACATTCCTTCTGTGGAACATGGGTTTCTATCTTTTTTTTATATATTTTATGGGCTAACGTTTAACCTCTATCTCGACTGGTGGTAAGCGATGATACGGTCTGCGATGGATGTATCACGTATCAGCAACCTATTCACTCGGGCCTTGAAGACACCCAGGTATCCTTCTATATCATGGGTGGCCAACCAGTCGATCGCGATCGACCGGTCGATCGCGACTATAAATCCAGGCGATCTTTGCAATAAAAAATAAATAAATACGTACCTACATAGAACACATTGCACAATGATATTACCAACTGCAATAATATTACCAAGAATAATTTGTAGTTTTATATTTTCCCTCATAATAAAATAAAAGTACTACATAATTGTGTACGAATTATGCTGTTTCATTTCAGATTTTAAGTAATAATGTAATTGGTATATCGTAATAGGTGTCATCAGGGAATAATCGATCTTGGGTCTAAACAAGTTGGCCATCCCTGTCCTATATCCTTCAGTAAATACAGACTCTGGCAAAGAATTCCACTCCTTAGCAGTACGCCCAAGGAAGCTTGATGCGAAGCGCCTGTGCTCGTGGGTTTAACTCGTTAAACGCCATGGGGGTCACCGGTGACAGACGTTAGCCGTTTGTCTTCAACAGTTTTTTATTGGCAGTCAAAGCTTTAAAAACACCTGTTCTTTAAAACTAAACTTGAGTATAACTGCAGGGCCTTGGCCAAAAATGTAGAAGGAAAATGAAATAAAAAAAGTTTTCTGTGTACTTATATTACTTAGTCGATTTTTAAATATTATATCTGTTAGCCGTTTATATTTACGTGTGAACAGTTATTAATATAACATCATGCCTTTTATTCCCGAAGGGATAGGCAGAGGTGCACATTACGGCACTTAATGCCATTGTACAACGTAACACCCACTTTTCATTATTTAAGTTACGATTCCCATGTAATAAGGGGTGAGCCTATTGTCATATATCAGGCACATTTCCAGACTCCGTGCTTCTACTGAGTCTTCTTAAAGAACCCAGTAATACTTTGCCCGAGCCGGGAATCGAATCCGAGACACTTTACCCGGCAGTAGCATAATTACGACCACTTGGCGAACGAGGCAGTCCTTTAACTTTTAGATTAATATTTTAATAACTGTTCATCTCTTTAATCGACGAGAATGTTGGAAATGATCTGTCCCATGCGAGACTGTTCTAATAATAAGTCACCCTGCATAGATACATACATATGACGACTTACCACTGGCATCGATAGAAGGAAATGGCGACATTGCACTTCCGACGTAAGAAAACGGTGTTGGACCAGCCAAATGTTGCAGATTACCTGCAAAATAAAAATAAAATAACATAACATAACATCACGCCTTTTATCCCCGAAGGGGTAGGCAGAGGTGCACATTATGCCACTGTACAATGTAACACCCACTATTCACTATTTATGTTATGAGTCCCATGTAATTGGGGGTGAGCCTATTGCCATATACCGGGCACAATTCCAGAATCCGTGCTACCACTGAGAATTTTTTAAAAAGCCAGTAATACTTTGCCCGACCCGGGAATCGAACCCGAGACCCTTTACCCGGCAGTCGCAATTGCGACCACTCGGCCAACGAGGCAGTCATATAGTTGATAGGTATATTATAACTTAGTAAAAAATTAGGGAAGACCCACATTGTGATTCAGTTGCAGTTTATTGTTGTTTAATCGAGCTGTTTATTAGTATTACGGACTTGTGTTGGTTGTGTTAAATAGTGGATTGTAATTGATGAGTCATTGTTCACCATTAAAAATACAGTGTCATAGTATCCCCATAGATCCTATTTATTACTTACTTTACTTATTCATTTGGATCAGAAAGAATATTTTCAGTCTTACCTAAGGCGACCCTGGGGTCTGAGAGCACAGCACTGCCCTGTGTGATGTCAGGCAACGCGCCAGACTTCATCTTCTTCCTGTTAGTCTCCGCATCCCGTAGGATCTGATCCAAACTTGTGCTCGCTGCAAACAAGCATTTGTATATTCAGGTCACGATTTAAATATCTTCAAGTGCAGAAGTGCATGTATTAAATCTAATACTTGGTTTCAGTCACTTATGTTATTAAAAGTTTTTAAAATCCTTAAAAACTCAAAACATATTAACATACATAACATCACGCCTTTTACCATCGAAGTGGTACGCAGAGGTGCACATTATACCGCGCACAATTCCAGACTCCGTGCTACCACCAACAATTAAAAAAAAACCGTAATACTTTGCCCACTTGCGACAACTCGGCCAACGAGATAGTCAAAAACTAAAATCGATAAATAATACTGTAATAAGCAAAATAATTACTGAAAATTTTAATATAAAAACGAGATATATTTTATATCCCTGAGAAGGAACACTGAACGAAAAATATCACCCAACTCTTTACTCCAAATGTAATTATTATAGATAAACAAATAGTAATATCATCACAATCAACACATGAAATGCATCTAATAACATAACATACATAACATAACATCACGCCTTTTATCCCCGAAGGGTTAGGCAGAGGTGCACATTATACCACTGTACAGAAGCAGCATAAGAAGAAGCATCTAATACTGAACACAGAATTCTCTTTCGAGTTATCTCTAATAGCAGTTAGGTTATCGAAATTCTAGAGTATATTGACTCGCTGAATAGCTGTTTTTTACATACTTCGGTTTAAATGGTCAATATGAAAATGAAATTGAAGACGTAACTTACGTGATGGCTCATCAAAGACATTAGTTGGATCCTTGAGTATATATTTTCTTAAGTTAAGATATTGTTCTTTCTGTGCTTCTACTTGAGTATGCACGGCTTGCAGTCGTCCAGCCAATGCCACTAGAGACTCGTGCATTCTTCTGATGCCCATAGTTAGTTCTGAAAATACATTATAATCTATTACATAATTATAATAAAAATGTTAATGTCTAAATTCTGTACATCACACTAATATTTTTTATGTGAAAGTTTCTTTGTTTTGGATGTTTGTCCATCAATCACGCTGAAACTTCTAAACGGATTTTGATGGTGTTTGAAATAATATTTTACGCGGACATAGTCGCGGGCAACAGCTAGTTGAAAATATGTAATTATAAAAATCATAATTAGTAAGGGGGTGTTAACGAAAACAAAAATGTGATTAAACAAAATTTAGTTTGCTACATTCATATTATGATATTATTATGTCTAAAAATATTTTATAAAAAAAACTCAGGAGACCGCAGTTTTCTGCAGTCTCGCCGCGGTTGAGATTATCGCCCGCAAATTTGACGGTTGATTATCGCAAGACGGGTGGGCGGTTAAACAATCAGTTAAGTTCCAGACCGGCCATTGCGATCGCCTGCCAACTGACCGCAGCTCGCGCGGGCGCTAGACGCGGCGGCCGTGGGCCCGCGGACCCGCAAGCAATCGCAATCGCCGCGGGCGTAAAACGCGCCGTGAATATTGCTTTGATTTTATCTCTGTATCCTACTGCATATTGTTTTGATCTCTGTATCCTACAAAGGCTACGAGCCCGCAACCGCGGCAGACGCGGGAGAAAATCATGTCGTAAGTCCTTAGCGTGACACTTACCCTGCTCAGTGAGTAGTTTAGGAGATGACTGCATCTGTTTGTCAGCCACATCCATTTGTCTGCGGAATGTGATGAGTTGTTGTTCCAATTCTGCTATTAAATCCTTCACATATGCTGGTGGAGCCGTGCCTTCTAGCTCTGAACCTAAAGCAGAAAATTACTTAATGTTTATAATGGTGTCTTAACCAAAGACAAAGTGCAGGATTTTAGTACTAAATAAATAAAATTGTTGATAGATAGTATCTAGTTGTCAACGTTATAGAATTTTACGGCCTACCTTTTCGCAAATTTATCATTTTTAAACGGTTTGACTAATTACAGAACAGCTTTTAATTTTACGTTTCATTAAAAATACAGACATATAAAATAAAATACTCTTCTCTGATTGGTTGATGTTAACAGTTGCTGTCTAATAGGTCGATGATAATATAATTTATTTCTTGTTTAGAATCCTACGGGCTTTTTTTGCGATTCCTTTTGATGACATACATACATAGCCTCACGCCTATCTCCAATAGGCAGAGAATATGGAACGCCAATTACTACGATTCTTACATACCTCTTTAATCAACAGTCTTATTTGTTATCAGCTATTTTAAAGTAACATACATGTATAATTTGAACAAAATTTTGTTGTAAACTCGCTATTCACTGCCCTATTTTCCCTGTAGTTGCTCATGCCGAGTGCATGCATATGCCAAGTTTGTGTATCATACATACCGGGCACGGTATAGTCCCTGGCAGCAGTCTCTGCGGCGGCCAGCGCGGCGGCGGCGGCGGCCCGCAGGCGGCGCGACTGGGCGCGCGCGCGCGACACCTCGCCCGACTGCGACACGGCCGCACGAAGGCGAGCCTCCGCCTCGCGGGATACCTAGAACCACACTACACGGTCAACTATATAATCACTACCTACTTCCGCGCGGTTCGACCCGCTCTGCTCGGTGTCTATTGATCGTAGAGTGGTGTTTTATAGCCTGTAGCCTTCCTAGATAAATGGACTATCCAACACAAAAAGATTTCTTCAAATCGGAACAGTAGTTCCTGAGATTAGGGCGTACAAACAAACTCTACATTTTTATAAAAAAAAAAGATAGATTTATTTCATGACAGAACAGCAAAGGATAAGTATTCAATGAACTGGGCAGTAGCCCGCAAGGCACACCTACCTCACCTGGTCTTAGGGCAGTCCCTTTTACGATCTTTGAAAACTTTATACCCTGTTAGGGAAAAGGGTATAAAGTTTACAAAGGAGAGCCTTATAGTAGCATTAAAAAGGGGATCAGCTGTACTAGCTTCTTAGTTCATCAAACTAATATTATAAACATAAAAGTTTATTTGTTTGGATCTTTGCCCGTCAATTACGATGAAACTACTGAACGGATTTTTATAAAATTAAGTAAACATACAAGGTTTGGGCTGACATAGGTGATAGAATACTTTTTATCCCGATTAAACAATCCATGGGATAATACACGAATCATATTCTAAGAGGACGAAGTCTAAAGCAACAGTTAGTAATTCATATTTCTGCAATTAATACTTGAAACCTTCCAAAAAAATGAAGTACACATCAACTGAAAATTTCTTACCTTATGCAATGGTTTAACAGACACCCTCATAACTTCAGAGCTAAGTGACTTCTGTTTCTTAACGAACTCTTTGAATGACTCCACTGTGGTCGAGATTTCATTTGGCAATTTATTCTGCTTTGGTGGTTCACCTGTAACAAGTACAAAAGATTTGTAATCAAAGTGTCATCTCGACATTTCAATCAAGGTATTGAATGTGATTAGTTGGAAAGTAATGCCTCGACTGCCTCGTTGGCCAAGTGCTCGCGATTGCGACTGCCGGGCAAGGGGTCTCGGGTTCGATTCCCGGGTCGGGCAAAGCATTACAGGGCTTTTTCAAAAAATCTCAGTAGTAGCACGGAGTCTGGAATTGTGCCCGGTATATGGCAATAGGCTCACCCTCTATTACATGAGACTCATAACATAAATAGTGAAAAGTGGGTGTTACATTGTACAGTGGCATTAAGTGCCGTAATGTACACCTCTGCCTACCCCTTCTGGGCTAAAAGTTGATGTTATGTTATGTTAGTTGGAAAATATAATTTCTTGTTGATGGCAATTATATCAGTCACAACTCTATGGTTAGCAAATGAAGTTAGATGAGGTACATATTCTAATTAGTATAAAATGGGTGTTACAGATATGGACAATATCTGCCTACTCCACAGAGGTTGGAAAACGAAATTTTATATTTTGCATTTAAAAACTTACTTTTAGAATCTGTCGTTGTATTTGCAGCACCAATGCCACTACTGCTAGTGGCAACTCCGCCCAGCCCGAAACTTGGTCCTGCTAATAAATAAACAAGATCACATTATTTTTCTATAAAATGTAAATGTTATGTATTGGATACATTCCTACATGATCTTTCACGCGTAAGGCAGTTTATTATAGTTTTTCACTACAAACTGTGTACTTAAATCATCCTTGTACCATTTTATTCATATCAATTGATTCTTTAAGTGTGGGAGAGCTATGCTTCGGCACGAATGGGCCGGCTCGACCGGAGTGATACGACAGTCTCACAAAAGACTGACGTGGAACAACGCTTGCGTTGTGTTTCGTCGCGTGAGTTAGGTTACCGGAGGCCCGATTACCCCTCCCCCTTTCCCAATCCCTAAGTCCCCAACAATCCTCAAATTCCTAATCCCAAAAGGCTAGTAACGCACTTGCAACGCCTCTGGTGTTCTGGGTGTCCATGGGCGATGCCGATTGCTTACCATCAGGTGATCCGTCAAATAGATTACCAGCGTTTCCCATAAAAAATCTCTGGTGAAAATTACATCAAAATACGTGTGTATTTTCTAAGTTTTTTCTAACTATGTAGGGATATGAGAAGTATACATACCTGAAATAGATGGCTGTGTGCCAGTCACACTAGTTGTACCCAATTTAGAGCCTGAAACATATTACAAAATGTTCAATAAACAGAATTAGTTTATGATCAATTTTATTAACCATTGTTATCATTAGCCTGAAAATGTCATCTCTGCTGGACTGAGTCTCCTGTACACAAGAGGGTTTAGGTAAGAGGGTTTGCCAAAATATCTGTGGTGTCGGAAATCATAGTTTAAAAAAGTTCTGGTTATAAGAAAGCGCTACTTTCAATAAGAATTTAGTCAATGTGTATACTACTTTGGTAACAGAGGAGGAACAGAGGGTAAAGTGAAGGAACAAAACGCCATGTGATTTAAATTTGTTATGACCAGTCTCAATCTCTTATCTATTGGTACAATTTGTTACTAAAGATGTATCTCAATTACGAAAGGTTAATGAGATTACCTGTCCGTTTTTTGCAGTTTTTATTACCCTACAATTTCAAAATGAAGTTAAAGGCCATTAAAAAAAATATCTTCTAGTGTTTGTCAAATAAGGGAGTGGATCAGATTACTTTTATTTGTTTTGCCAATCGTCGCGACTCCCTTTGATAGGGTTTCAGTTCAAACATAACTGGGAAACAGTGACTATTACATAATAATATGTTCCTCTGTAATTAGCCTACAGACAATTAAGAGTGTGATGTCCAAGTTCAAAGATTCTCACCGGGGCTAGGCGTTATAGTAGGATAACAGTCGCGTTTAGCACTGAGAAGTTTGTAGCTACAACCAGGTTCACATTGAATGGGGCTCAGTTCGAAGCGTGGCTTAGTAAACGTTGTTGGTGGTAACATTTGAAAAGTCTGAGTTACCGGTATGAAAGGACCATGGAGTGGAGAACTTGGGTTTGGGTTCATTGTACTGGAAAGGAAGGTTATGGGTATAATCTTATCAGTTTAAATATTTCTACTGCTAATCAAAGACTTTTCAGACTCCTCAGAGAGGGTTGGGATGAAGACTGGGGATTGTAGTCACCAAAATTTTATAGGATATTGCTACTTGTATATCCGCTTGTTGCAAAATCTTTTAAACCTGTGCTACTGTACAAGTAAAGTTACATAAAACAATTTTCATATCTCTTGGAGATGCTATATCTTGAAAATAACTGCTTGAAGTTGGATGATTTACTGGTGACTAGAGGCTTGCTATTACCTGTGTCTTACAATACACATCATCACATCAACAGCCTATAAGTAGCCACTGCTGACCAAACGCCTCTTCTAGCATGGAAACACGACTAGGGAGAAGGGATCATTGCTAAACAACGAAATTGAAAAGGGTAGTCAGGGAGGATGCAAACATTTGCCTATAGTATAGGACTATAGGCCCTATAGGCTCGGGAATTATAGTTAAGTTTAATAGATACTACTGTTTATTCCTCAGTGGCAAAACACAATTTTGGAATGTACTTGAATCACACTTATAATAATAAAAAAGAAATCATTTCATCAACATACCTAATAAGCTTGTTGTGGTTGTAGCTGTGCTTGTAGATCCAAAGCCAAACCCAACGCTTTGAGTTGAGGTGGTGCTGCCAAAACCAAAGTTTCCAAGCCCTCCTAGGCCCGTGCTAGCAGAAGTTGCAGGGGTGCCAAATGATAGACCTGCAAAATTAAATTTTTAACATGTAATGCAAACTATTTCTGTACTCGCATTTTATTATCTGTTTTTCACACTTATAAATATTGTGTTCTAGGCTTAACTTCTAGGGAACAAATGTCCTGTGACACGTGTCGCCAGCGACGTTGGGTGGCGTCGCGGTTCGTTGCCGGTGTTTAGTCGACATGTCTGGCAACAACGTCGTGTGGACATAAGTCGCGCGTTATCCTTACTAATATTATAAATCGGAAAGTGAGTTTGTTTGTTTGTTCTACTTTCGCGCCGTAACTACTAAACCGATTGCCTTGAATTTTTGCAGACGTGAAGTTAGAAGTCTGGATTAAATAATAGGGTACTTTTTATCCCGGAAAAATTTGATATTCTCGAGGGAAAACGAAATTATTGGTATAGATGGCGCTGTGTGTTACATATGTGTGTTGTTGTGTTGTGTTGGTATATGTCACATAGGTTACTTATTAACCTTTTGTGACGCGAGCGAAGCCGCGGGTAAAAGCTAGTCACCATATAAATGTCAAGCAAAATCGGCCAGCTTCGCTAGACATGTCGCTGATACATATCTTGGGACATTGTCCCCTAGTGTATTTTTGGCTTTATGCAAGACTTTTACTTTAGGTCAAAACAAAACTTACCGCCGTACTCAGAGCCTTAATATAACATAACATCACGCCTTTTATCCTCGAAGGGGTAGGCAGAGGTGCACATTATGCTACTGTACAATGTAACACCCACTTTTCACTATTTATATTATGAGTCCCATGTAATCCCTATTACCCTATCCCCTATCAATCCCTGGTGAGCCTATTGCCATAATACAGGCACAATTCCAGACACCGTGCTACTACTACTGAGAATTTTTAAAAAACCCAGTAATAATTTGCCCGACCCGGGAATCGAATTCGAGACCCCTTGCTCGGCAGTCGCACTTGCGACCACTCGGCCAACGAGGCAGTCTTTAATGCCTACTTAATCCAGTCCTTAGTAATTGCCTTTGACTTTGTAATCATTAAATGCCTCTGAGTATCGCAAGCCTTTTAGAAGTGTATAAAAAGAGTAAGTTATTCAATGCAGGTTAATACAACACAAAAATGTAAATTCAATATTACCTGAACTAGTAGTGGCAGTATTGGAACCGGCACCAAAATTGAGGCCACCAGTGCCTAAACCAGTGCTACCAAATGCTGGAGTAGTAGTACCAAATGAGGGGGCTGCACTAGCTCCAAATGCAGGTGTAGTTGTGGCTCCTGGAATTTATATTATTGTAATTATCCTCATTGTAGTAGACAATACATTCTTAAGTAATACTATGAATATGGAAGTAACTCTGTTTACTTCAATACATAGCCGAAAGAAATAAAAAAAGTAATTTAATTTTATTAGTACCTAATATTGTTTAAGTCCCATTGTAATTTACTTTTCTTTTAAAAAAGTTGTTTACAGTTTAATTAGGACATTTATATCTCATCCACTATTTTATGAATTTATGTGTGTTTGTAACTCAATCGTACCAAAACGGCTAAAGGGATCAGAAAGAAATTTGGGCCGGAATAGCACATTGAATAGTTTTTACTGCACGGGAATATGAGATATCCTGCAAGCAGACGCTAGTAAACAAATATATTATAATAGCACCTAATTATGCTTATCTATATAGCCTTTGTCTCTTAAAAATAAATCTATGAAAATTAAAACAGTGGTACCTATACCATATTTCATAATTGACGTGCAACCTTTATTGTTAGTCATACAAGCTTATCATAGTTATTATATCAATTTATTTTATGCAATAAATTGCTGCTCATTATTGATAAGTTCCTTTGTGAATGATTCTCACAGAAATAGAATAGACTAGATTATGTAACAAAAATGTTGAAGGATACTAAGTTTTTTGTGCAAAATTAAATGTTTAATTATATAAAGTTATCTTTTATACAATTACTTACCAAAAGCCGGTGCAGCAGATGTAGCACCGAACGCTGGAGTAGTCGTACCAAAAGCAGGTGCTGCTGATGTAGCACCAAATGCTGGAGTTGTAGAACCAAATGCTGGTGCAGCAGCCCCGAATGCAGGCGTAGTGGTCGACCCAAACGCTGGGGGCGCTGTAGATCCGAATGCTGGAGTTGTAGTCGCCCCAAACGCCGGCGTTGTAGTTGCTCCAAACGCTGGAGCAGTGGATGTAGCACCAAAGGCAGGTGCAGCACTTCCAAACGCCGGAGTTTCAGTCGACGACGTATTTCCAAACAGACCCGACGGCTGTGACGTTGCCGTCAAACCAAACGCAGGAGTCGCAGGCCTGGACACACCGTTATTATGTTAATAATGAAAAACTGTCACAAGTAAATTCATTAGCAAAATGTTTTCCACCTAAATATAGGTTATGAATGATAATTTACAATGACAATTTACAACTTTTTAAATTTTAGTAAACATAGATTAATGTTATAATTTTGGTGGTAAACAAGAATCTGTATCTGTAGAAAAGAGTTCTTAAATCAAATTTATTATAAAAAGTTTTAACAATTTCGGTTACTTACTTGTTAGCGCCAAAATTGAAGCCTCCCGTGAGTCCGGTTGTTGCAGGAGCACTCGATGGAGTGCCGAATGAAAAGGACATTTTTCACTTTTATTTTTAATAATTATAACTAAATACTACTATTTTATTAACAATACCTATAAAACTATTCCTTAAAAGTTCCAGTACTAGATCAACGCATTGACAAGTTGACAACGATAACGTTTTTGAGGTTTGACGGCCATTATTGAGGTTTGTTTAGTTGCCACTGTAATAAAATCAAACGTCAAGATTTATACCATGTGCATGATAAAAAAAAAACGTGATTATTAAATAAATTATTATGTATGTATTTGTCTTGTTAACAAAAGGGTTGTTTAACCCTTAGAGCGCCACGTCAGTCACCGGTGCCTGACGCTAGTGGAGGTTTGACTTTCACCATTTTAAACTTGGCAGTTAAAGTATTAATAATCTGAAATCTACAATTTCCAATTTACAAATTCGTCTGGCTCAAGCATGGCGATCAAAATTTTTTAGTGTGAGAACTTTTTACTCACAGTGAATTATTTACAGGCTGGATTAATTTATTGTATTTATAAATTTAAATGAGATGTCAAATATACATACTTATTTTAGTATAAAATACATATTATTTTCTCTTTGGTGAGAAGTCAATCATTATCAATCAGATTTAACGTACATCTTCAAAAATACCTATATTTTTTAATCTTATCATTGTAAGAAGTTGAAAGCAACAACAATGAACCATCTTGCTTGGGGTGGTCATCTTGCACAGTCTTGTAACGTGGTTTTTAGAACTACGCCTACCAGTATTGGGATTCCTTTTTGGGTGACTAAATATCCTGGGCCAAAAGTTTTGAAAGTCACTCGTCCTTCAGCGATGGTTCCGGAGGAGCAATATAAAAGACTAATTACAGGGAATCTAAGAGTGGAGGCTGCCATTACTAATCGCGCAAAGTTCATCAGTTCATCCCTTTATGTGTAACATATTAAGTTTTTTTATTGTGCCCAAGGAAGACGGAAATTGGCGATCAATGTGAGAAAAATTCGAAATTGTGAAATGGACTTTGGTTTTTGTTTTGTGGTTTATTTTAGTTGATTGAAAATAATTAAAAATGTATGTTGTTATTGAAATTCAATTTGGTAAAAATGTATATTGCTAAATACAATAATGGGTGCTTTTAAATTTAACCATCTGACCGGATTTTTGTAACCGAACGTTGCGTCGGTCTGATTATGGTAATATAGGTATAGGTACCTATAATATGACAAAATATCTATAGACAAATCTCTTAAAAGATCTTTGATCATTTGATGCTAATGATTGATTGTTTTAATAGTCTTTGTGCATAGTAAGATACAAGCCAGCTTTATGCTAGTTATAAGTCGCGGAGAACCTAAAGTCGCGGAGATCCTATTGTCGCGGAGAATCTAACGGGTTACAGGGGCTCCGGCTCTAAGTGCAGGAGTAGGAACGGGGTGGTTTTTAGTCAGTAAGAGTCTTGACATTCCCTCCCGCCTCACCCAGGCGGGAGAAGCCATTGGATAATTTTCCCCGCTTAAAAAAATGCTAGTTATATGAGGTAAGCCTATTCAAATTAGATGTTAAGATGAGCGCATTTATCGGATTGGGCATTAAAGTACCTGTAAAGATAAATGTAAGTGGAATAAATAAATAAAAATTCGTAACTTTCAAAATAGAATGGTCAATGTCCAGTAATGGTTTGTTCTATGGGGAGTCGGAATGAACTTGAGATCTTGTGTTTCTTAGGAGCACTTGCGGCCACGTGACTATAAAACTTAGAGCGGTCAGTTCGCAGCTCAAATTTGTTTGAGGGCGTGTAAAAATGCCCGCCACGTACCTATGCAATGCAAATGGCTATTATCATCATCACTTTAAAGCAAGTGGCTATATTATTAGGGTGGTATAAATATGACGTGGTATACTCATTAAAATGCAATATGATCATAAACGCGCTCTATGAAAAGAAAATGGATAAAGACCACTGCTTCAAGTAATCCTTACTAATATTATAAATCGGAAAGTGAGTGTTTGTTTGTTCCACTTTCACGCTGTAACTACTAAACCGATTGCTTTGAATTTTTGCAGACGTGAAGTTAGAAGTCTGGATTAAACTGTCAAATACCAAGCGGTCACCGGTGACCGCGACCTATTGTTCTTTAATTGTGTCTATAAAACCGGTACTCGACGAGTTAAATAATAGGATAGTTTTTATCCAGAGGCAACGAAATTATTGGTATAGATGGCGCTGTGTGTATTGGTATATGTGACATAGGCTACTTTTTATCCTTTTGTGATGCGAGCGAAGCCGCGGGTAAAAGCTAGTTACAAATAAAGTTAATAAAACTCATTAGTAATTGAACATTATCTGTTTTTGTTTTGGAGATTTTACTGTTTTGTTACTTATTTGCAACCAAAGTTGCGCTAAAACTAGCATGAAAACAAGACTTTGTTGGCTTGTAAGTTTTTTGTGATTTATTATTTAACATTTCTACCGACCGTACCGACAAAGTTAATGGAGACAAAACGGTATCATGTATAATTTTGGATGTACATACAATGCCAAACAGTGGTGGAAATCTCCCCGAAAGTATGGTATAAAGAAAGTCTTGAGCCACTTTAAGATTGTGGGACTAATACAAACGGTAAACAATTTTTTTTTATGGCATAAGCCGGCAAATAGTAGACGGATCACCTGATGGTAAGCAATCGGCGTCGCCCATGGATACCCGGAACACCAGAGGTGCTACAGGGGCGTTACCGGCCTTTTGGGGATTAGGAGTTTGAGGATCATTGGGGATATAAATATCCAATTCCAATAAGCATATCAGGATTACAAGGGTCATTGCTATTTGAAAAGTACTAGACAGGATCAACACTCAGACAATGCTATCTTTAAAATATTGAAGTTTGATTTGCCACGATTCATTACGATTTCAATCCAAAGACGAACCGAGGGGCCCAGAGTGTTCCCAAGTTTAATTGACTTTCAAGATTTTTAATTACAAACTTGAGAAAAGATACACCGTAGAGGAAGTCGAGAGATTGAAGGGACGCATTTGGGGTGGAATTTTATGGGTGTTGAAAATTTTTAAATGTTTAAAAGTTTGACTGGTTTTAATAAATGAGTGTTATTTTCAGAAATCTTAAATTACTGATGAGTATAGTATTAATTGGGTCTTCAATAAGCATCAACTGATGCAGTAGGAACATTAACAAATTTAATTAGTGAAATATGTTTATAAGTTTCCTGTTAAGCATGTGAAGAATTAGGAGCAACTTCTAACATTACTTACGTTATCATCTTTATCTAGAAAATCAAATGTCGTAGTGGCCCGGATGTTTAAGATGCCCGCTTTTCATGCATGAGGGTGCGGGTTCAAAACCTACCAACGGCAAGTACCAATGTAACTTTTTCCGAGTTATATATGTACTTTCTCAGATTATTTAGACACCACTGACAAACAATGAAGGATAACATCGTGAGGAAACTTGGGCTTATAATTTCTAATAATAAGTTTGTAATCGCCAACCCACATTGAGTAAGCGTGGTGATTAATGCTCAAACATTCTGTATATGACAAGAGGCCTTTGGCTTTGGTCAGCAGTGTGCACTTAAGTGTTCTGATGGTGAGAAAATCAAAAGATAACACTTAATTAATATTACTGAACCTCAAGCATTTTAGCATTTTAATTGTGATGCGGACCTGTTCAATCCGCCATTTGTAATGAAAGATTTTACAATTCCTAAAGAAAAAGTTAATATTTCATTCTGCCGGTCGACCAGTTTCTAACGAATGAAGTTCTTCTCTATTTATCTTGTTTAATTAGTGCAATTTTCTGGAGTGCAACCTGACCGTCGCGTCGTAAGGTTTTCATTGAGCAAAGTCCACAGCAATAACTCTTAGCAAACTACAGAACGTTTTGCATAAATATTGATAGCAAGATTATGGCTCACTTCTGCGACATTTAAGATTTTTTTTTATGGGTGGAAAATCATCAATTGACTGTTCCAAATGAATGGAGTGTCAGACTCTTGCTGACTAAAAACCACCCCGTTCCTTCTCCTGCACGTCGAGCCGGAGCCCCGGTTACCCGTTAGGTTTTCCGCGACTCCGAATCGGCATCGGCCCTATTGGGCCCCATCTGTGGTGGTCTGATGGCTCTTTGAGGCGCGCGCACATTTAAGGTTTAGGGTCTTCACGACCCGCCCGGAGGACATGGTGGAGTACACGGTGGCGGTGTGCCCTGCGTGGGCTGAGCACCGCCGTGTCCTCAGGTATGTGATCGGCGATGGTGACCTCTCGCATCCGGCTACTATGGTACGGAGCGAGAGGAACTGGGATGTCATCTCCACCTTCTCCGAAGCGTTCCGCGCGTGCTTCAAAGAGCCTTCAGACCACCATAGATGGGCCCAATAAGGCTGATGCCGATACAGAGCCGCGAAGGACAGAACGGGTTGCCTGGACTCACGCTCGATGTGCAAGAGTAGGCACGGGGTGGTTTTTGCTATCACTCGACCGTTAAAGCAGTAGGCTAAATTATTAGAGCACATCTTATTGTCTTAATAAACACTTAAATGCCCCATCAGATTCAATTTAACCACCATAGGTACGATACCACTATATGTAGTTTAGTGTGTTTGTGAAGTTTAGTGTGGGAGAGCCATGCTTCGGCACGAATGGGCCGGCTCGACCGGAGTGATACCACGGCCTCACAGAAAACCGACGTGAAGTAACGCTTGCGTTGTGTTTCGTCGTGTGAGTGAGGTTACCGGACGCCTGAATCCCCATCGATCCTCAAACTCCTAATCCCCAAAAAGCCGGTAACGCACTTGTAACGGCTCTGGTGTTCCAGGTGTCCATGGGCGACGCCGATTGCTTACCATCAGGTCGTCCGTCTGCTCGTTTACCGGCTTATTCCATAAAAAAAATGTAGAGGTAGATCGAAGCTAGAACCTATTGTATATACATACAAAGTAGTTTTGAATAAATAAATTGTCTCCAGGTGGACCATGGTACACCTTAGCAGTTAGCTTTAGCGAAATAATTGCAATTTACATGTGTTTAGTGTAGTGTGTACCAACAGCTTTGAGGATGGAATGGCGACCGAGTAAATTCGATGGTCAACACTTTGGAGCTTAATGTAGGTAGATACCTAAACGTATGGTTCTCTTTGTGGTCCAAAGGGATGCAATAATCGCCTTGATTTCGTTCTTTTATCATTAACTAGCTTTTACCCGCGGTTTCGCTCGCGTCACAAAAGGATAAAAGCCAATGTGACATATACCAATACACACAGCGCCATCTATACCAATATTTTTGTTTTCACTCGGGAGTATCAAATTTTTCAGGGATAAAAAGTACCCTATTATTTAATCCGGACTTCTAACTTTACGTCTGTAAAATTTCAAAGCAATCGGTTTAGTAGTTACGGCATTAAAGTGGAACAAACAAACAAACTCACTTTCCGATTTATATATATATATATATATATATAAGTAAGGAAGTAAGCATTTAAAATATAAGTAAGAATAACTTTTGAGGCTTCAAGGTCACGCTTCTCTCTATCATCAAGCCTTGAAAATACACAATTAATTCAAAATGTATAATAGTTGCATATTAAATAGTCATTTTTAATTAACTATAAACTACTTCAGACATTTCTACCGTAAAATCTGTAAACGCTATTAAGTCTAAACTTCTGTTAACACATCGCTTCCTGCACATCATCATTTTGCAGTTGTTATCGACCTTACTACATATGAGCAAGGGTGAATTTGCAGTGGATGGTTAAAAAGTTAACTTTGCATGCGCACCCTTTGTTGTCTAGTGACTAGACTAGGGGGAGGGGGGATGTATTTTGTTTTATTTGCTCAGTCGCGACGCAGATTTGCGTCTGTGCGCTTGTGTGCGTCCCGATCGATGCGTGACCAGGATGCACTTATAAAGATTGTTAGCGTTACAGATTAGGCTGCTTGGGGGAGATTTATTGAATCATGTTTACTGTGTTAAGTAGACGGTGCCTATACACCTAAATAAAATCATATTTATTGTTCAGAGGCTGAATATTATACTTTCTGTAGACATTTTGACGGTTGCTGATAAAATGTATATTTTTTATCAATTACGTTAAGTTAAGGGCAGTTTGTATCAGGTATCACAGCAAGGTTATTACAATACAAACCTATTGGTAGTAGGTAGTGAGTTTATAAATGTACTCACGACACAGGAAAACATTTTAGAATGGGTTAAAGAAGAATAAACCCTTCACATCAAAGAGTTCTTACACAAGTTTTCATCCTTGGAACTATGTAGGTACTTATTGCACTACCGATCCTTTTTTGATAGATTCTCTCATTTTTTCACTACATAAAAAAAAGAGAGAAGACTGCCTCGTTGGCCGAGTGGTCGCAAGTGCGACTCGCGGGCAAGGGGTCTCGGGTTCGATTCCCGGGTCGGGCAAAGTATTACAGGGTTTTTAAAAAATTCTCAGTAGTAGTACGGAGTTTGGAATTGTGCCCGGTATATGGCAATAGGCTCACCCCCTATTCCATGGGACTCATAACGTAAATAGTGAAAAGTGGGTGTTACACTGTACAGTGGCATAATGTACACCTCTGCCTACTCCTTCGGGGATAAAAGGCGTGATGTTATGTATATAAATAAAAAAAAGAAGGTTCCTGAACCGATTTGGATGCAGCTTCCAGTAACGCGTGTGTTACAATTTTTTTAAGGGGGGGGGGAAATATTCGAGTTACTTCTCCCGCCTGGGTGAGACGGAAGGGAGTGTCAGACTCTTACTGACTAAAAACTACCCCGTTCCTTCTCTTGCACATCGACGCGGAGCCCCGGTAACCCGTTAGATTCTCTGTTTGTTACACTTAAGCAGGTTAGTACCTCTATATTAACTGTCTCCAAAATGGAGGTTGAAATTGGTTTTTCAAAAGTTTATTTGATACCTAGCTCCCATATTTACGAGTAGTAAGTACGTGCCTTATCACAAATTGATGTGTCTATCCAGTATTAATACAAAAGGTGATTTCTATGTAAGTATTCTATCAATCATCAATCATAAATAATGTATGTATCAGTTTATAGGGTTGGCACGGAGTGAAACAACCGGGTGTTGCGTTGGTTCGACGGCCGGACCGGCGCGTCGCATCGATCGACACCTGTGGCAGCCTTTGTGGCGGCAGACTTCCCTGTTCACTGTACTACGTAAACTTTCACGTTTTGCTAAAGTAAATTTATATGATAGATTTGCTACGCTCAGCTCAGCTGTTAATAATCGTAACGTGATGTTTGATATCCTATTGTATAGTTAATGATTTATACAATACAAGATTAAATTTCGAAATTGGATCAGTAGTTCCTGATATTAGCGCATTCAAACAAACAAACTAACAAACAAACAATTTGTTCAGTTTAATATAATAAAAATATAAGTATTAAAATCATGTTTTTGAAAACCTTGCATATTAAATATTATTGATTTTTCACCAGCTGTATTATAATTACCATGAGTAATTAGTAGGCTGCCTCGTGCGAGTGATCGCACGTACGACTGCCGGGGCCTCGGGTTCGATTCTCGGGTCGGGCAAAGTATTATGGGTTTAAAAAAAAATCTTAGTAGTAGCACGTAGTCTGGAATTGTGCCCGGTATATAGCAGTAGGCTCACCCCCTATTACATGGGACTCATCATAAATAGTGAAAAGTGGGTGTTACAAACGTTGTATAGTGGAATTAGGTGCCATAATGTGCACCTCTGCCAATTCCTTCGGGGATAAAATGCGTGATATTATATGTATAACATTAACCATAATTTCATGTTTTTGAAAGCCTTATAACTATCATGCTGTAACATACGGGAGTGGAGCTGTGAATCACTACGCAGACGAGTTAGTGCACGCACGCAGAGAGAGTCAGCACAGCTAGTGTTGAATAACTCAGAACTAAATCGAAAGCAAACCCAGTCAGTAATATCAGGTACGAAAAGTTACGTCGTTTATTCAATACGATTACATTTATTACATTTCACTTAAAAGCCCCGTAAAAATCAAAGAACCGTATCAGTAGATACAACAGGTCTATGAATTCCCACCGAAAAGGAGGGGAGAGCGTAAACCCAGTCCGAAAGATAAGGAAATAATTCCGAAGGGTGTTACATTCATTTATCACAAGTTATCAGAGTAATCTGCGCACCTTCCACCGAGGACTTGCGGAGGGGAGTGATAGATAAACCACTTGAAAGGATAAAGACCAAATTTTCTAATGTCATAGTGATTTATTGTTATTAACAATTATTGAAACCTACAACCGAATAAAATCTTGGCTCTTAAATCATAACCTTGAAGTTAATAATAAAAAAACCAAAATCATACAATTCAAACCATATCAGAAACAAAAAATTAACTTAAATTATATAACTAACTCCCTTAAAATAGAAGAAGTAGAACAATTCAAACTTCTGGGAATCACACTGGACTCCCACTTAAATTGGAAAAACATGTAGACAAGACTAAAATAAAACTATCACAATTCTCATACGGATTAAATGTATTAAAAACTAACACCAACACACAGTGTGCTCTATCTGCGTACTACGCATATGCATATGCGTGGCTACGCTATGGAATCATTATGTGGGGACACAGTGTAGATGCTAAAGACCTATTCATTGCCCAAAAAAAATGTCTGAGAATAATCTATAACATTAAACCTAGAGATAGCTGTAGACCATATTTTGAACGGGAACAAATACTAACCTTGCCGTCGATCTACATATTAGAATTGGTCAGTTTTGTAAAGAAAAACATCAGGTTATTTAATTTTAACAAAAACGAACGCCGGAAAAACAAGTTGATACTACCTGCACCTAGACTGCAAATGTATAAAAATAGCCCAGAATACCGAAGCATACAAATCTATAACAAGTTACCTGAAGAAATACGGTCGACCAAAACTATTTGTATATTTCAAACTAGATTGAAGTCTTTATTCATAAAAAAATCTTATTATAGTATCCAAGAGTACCTCGAGGATAAGAATTGTATCTATAGTAATAAAATAGTATCTAGGTAGTAATTTAAGATTTTACTTGTTATGTATTTACTCTAAGCTTGTAATAATTATCTATATAATATTTATTGCATTTTATTGTAGCTCATGTGAATGTGATAAGGTTACATATGTTCCTATGTTTTACAGTCTAATTTTGTTATGTTTTCACTCACTATTCGGTTAAATTTTGTTATTTGATTTCGTCCAAGAATTTTATTTATTACTAGTTTTTAATATTAACGTAACCAATTATAGAGTGATAGTATATTTAGATTTTGGATATATTCATTGTAAGTCACGGGGTGACATAAAGATTAGGAGAAAACTATAGATTAGTAAATAATATATAGGTATAGTTATAGCTCTAAGTAATAGTTATAAATTTCGGCTGATACTAATTTTGTAACGTTTTAAATTGCTGCGCCCTAACAGGGCAATGTACTTAATTAGTTGTATGTAATACTTCATATTATATGTACATTGTACAATATGAATAAATAAATAAATAAATAAAAACTTATTCAGATTCTACGAGTTCATTTTTTCTCTTTAAACTAGGTACCTACTCCCGCGCTGTTTTACCTGCTGGTCGGCTCGTAAGATCGTAGCGTGATGTTTTATAGCAGGGGGCTTAGTCTTGAATCCAATTCGTTTATTTTCATTAAATTTTTCCATTTTCGGAGTCTCAACATCTTATAGAATAGTATCTGTAATAATG